CTGCCTCAGCCTCCCAAGTAGCTGGGACTACAGGCGCCCGCCCCTTTGTTATATCTTTAGTGATCAGCAGATTTGTAGATACCAATCTTCTTCCCTAACCTCTAGTTTACCATCCTACTGGGAAATTAATTATTAGATTCTGAGCAGGACTTTTCTTTGGGGGTGTGGTATAGTATTTCATAGGACATGCCATTTTGTTACATGAAGACATAAAACTTGAAAGATTCCAACAAAGTGTTGCCGTTTAGAGATTCTTAGCGAGCTTTTCATAATAAACAGATAAGAAAAATTAATAATATAAACCGACTATATATTTTCTATAGGAGTCACACTTCAAAGGTACAAACAGATTGAAACTAAAAGGGTAGGAAAAGATATACCATGTAAACAGCAAACACAAGAAAGCTATAGTGGCTATACCAATATCAGAAAAAAATAAGACTTTAATGTCCTGAACCAGCACAGCAAAGGGGAGTGAACCAGAGTGGAATTGGTGGGGAATGAGGAAAATACAGCACAAGAGAAGACACGGAAACAAAGGATGGGACCAGGAGGACTGACTGAGCTGATGGCTACAGCCAGCCCCAAAGCACAAAATCAGCTTCATTTTATAGTATCTGTACAGGGTTGTCCAGGGGGAAGTAACATAGACAAAATGGGGATATAGCATAAACAAAAGACATAGTTTTGATCTTTCAGTACAATATGAAAATGTAAATGACTTTAACAAAGATAAACCATCTTGTTAATGGTTTCTGCTCAACTTCATTAACATATGACAAGGAGAAAGAAGAGAGAGATCTCAAGGATCTGCATAGTTAACTATAGAAAGAAAGGGCTACATGAGTTCTGGCAGACGGAACATGAAGAAAGGAAAATGGCTGTTTTGGGAATGGAGGAGAAGCAGTTGAGGGTTCATTCTCTGAATGTTCCCCAGGCTGTGAGGGCTCTGCCATCATACAGCCCGCTCTCTACACTTCAAAACAACAACAAAAAAAGTGTTACTAGAGATAAAGAGGGACTTTTTCTGTTTGTTTGTTTGTTTGTTTTTGAGGCAGTGTCTCACTCTGTTGCCCTGGTGTTGCATAGCTCACAGCAACCTCAAACTCTTGGGCTCGAGTGATCCTCTTGCCTCAGCCTCCTGAGTAGCTGGGACTATAGACACCCACCACAACACCCAGTTAGTTTTTCTATTTTTAGTAGAGACAGAGTCTCAATCTTGACCAGGCTGACCTCAAACTCCTGAGCTCAAGCCATCCACTCACCTCAGACTCCCAGAGTACTGAGATTACAGGGGTGAGCATGCGCAGCCAAGAGGGACATTTTATAATTAATGAAAGAGTCAATCCACCACAAATATTTAACACTTATACTGTATATTAGTATGTATATATACCTATATCAGAGTACCAAAATTGTGAAGCAACAACTGGCATAAATGAAGAGAAAACTAGACAATCTAACAATAATAGTTAGATAGAATAATCCGACTATTAATGGATAGAATAACTAAGCAGAAGATCAACAAGGAAATAGAAGACTTGAATAATACTATTAACCAACTGGACCTAACAGACATTTATAAGAAAAGATGCTCCACCAAAAAACAGCAGAATACACCACATTCTTCTCAAGTGTATATGTGACATTCTCCAGGAATAGACCATATGTTAGCCCATAAAACAAACTTCAATACATTTATAAAGATAGTAAAAATATAAAACATGTTCTCCAGCCACAATTAAATGCAATTAGAAATCAATAACTCGGACAAGGTATAGTGGCTTATATCTGTAATCCTAGAACTTTGGGAGGCCACGGTGGGAGGATCATCTGAGATGAGGAGTTTGAGATCAGCATGAGTAAGAGTGAGACCTTGTCTCTATGAAAAACAGAAAAATTTTCCAGGTGTGGTGGTGTGCACCTGCAGTCCCAGCTAATCAGAAGGCTGAAGCAGGAAGATTGCTTGAACCTAGGAGTTTGAGGTTGCAGTGAGCTATGACGATGCCATTACTCCCTGGCCCAGCAACAGAGCAAGACCTTATCTCAAAAAGAAAAAGAAGGAAGGAATTTGAGAAACTCACAAAAATATGTGGAAATTAAACAACACATTCCTAAGAAACCAATGGGTAAAAGAAGATATCAAAAGGAAAATTATAAAATACTTTGAGATAAATAAGAATGAAGATAAACATACCAAAACTTGTGGGGTATGGTAAAAGCAGTGCTTACAAGAAAAATTATAGCTACCAATGCCTATATTTAACAGAAAGAAAGATCTCAAGTCAATACCTTAAGACACTGGAAAGAGAAGGATCAAACTAAACAAAAGAAGCAGAAGGAAGGAAATAATAAAGGTTAGGTTGGAAATTAATGAAATAGAGACTAGAAAAACAGTAGAGAAAATTAAATTAAATTCCTTCCTTCTTTTTCTTTTTGAGATAGGGTCTTGCTCTGTTGCTGGGCTAGGGAGTAATGGCATCGTCATAGCTCACTGCAACCTCAAACTCCTAGGTTTAATTTTCAAACCCAATTCTTTAAAATGATCGACAAAATTGACAAACCTAAAAGAGAGAAGACTCCAAGTACTAAAATCAGAAATGGAAAAGGGGACACCACTACCAAGGTTACACAAATAAATAAGATTAAAAAGAAATACTATGAACCAGTCTGTGTAAATGCCTGTTCATAGCATTTCTTTTTAATCTTATTTATTTCTGTAAGCTTTGTAGTAATGAGTTTTGGCACTCTGGGAGACCCAGGAGGGTGGATCCTTTGAGCTCAAGAGTTTGAGACCAGCTTCAGCAAAAGCAAGACCACATCTTTACCAAAGATAGAAAAAATTAGCTGGGGATTGTGTCCCAGCTACTTGGGAGGCTGAGGCAGGAGGATCACTAGAGCCCAGGAGTTTGAGGGTTCTGTGAGATAGGTTGACACCACAGCATTCTAGCCTGGGCAACAGAGAGAGACTCTGTCTCAAGAAAAAGAAAACGTGGGTAAAAGACTTGAACAGGCATTTCTCCAAAGAATATATACAAATGGCTAATAAGTACATCATTGTTCATCAGAAAAATGCAAATAAAGCTACAATGAGATAATCAGGAGCATATGAGGGTGCTTGTCATATTACACCTTACCTGGTCTTAGGCAGCACTGACATATTTTTAAATACTTGCTAAATAGAAAAGTAAAGTGGAGTCTTGTTTATTAGTTCTTTGTTCCTGATGAGTATGAGCAGTTTTTCCAAATGTTTTTGTGTGGGTAATATCATATACAAAAATAATTGTTTTGTGAATTGTCTGTGTACATTCATCTATTGAGATCTTACTTTTTCAATTAATTTTTAAAAAAATGTTTTCACTGAATCCATTTTTCTGCAGAATAATTCATACAATTTTTAAAAATAATAATTGTAGGGCGGCACCTGTGGCTCAAGGAGCAGGGTGCCGGCCCCATATGCCAGAGGTGGTGGGTTCAAACCTAGCCCTCGCCAAAAAAAAAAAAGTAATAATTATAGGATGCAGTGGCTCATATCTGTAATCCCAGCACTCTAGGTGGCTGAGGCAGGTGCATTGCCTGAGCTCACAGATTCAAGACCAGTCTGAGCAAGAGTGAAACTCCCTTCTCTAAAAACAGCAGGGTGTTGTGGCAGGTGCCTATAGTCCCAGCTACTCAGGAGGTTGAAGCAAGAGAACTGCTTGAGCCCAAGAGTTTGAGGTTGCTATGACGCTATGGCACTCTACCAAAAGTGACATAGTGTGACTTTGTCTCCCCCTCCCCCCAAAAATTGGCTCGGTGCCTGTGGCTCAAGTGGCTAAGGCACCAGCCACATACACCTAAGGTGGCAGGTTCAAATCCAGCCCGGGCCCACCAAAACAACAATGATGGCTGCAACCAAAAAAAAAAAAAAATAGCAGGGCATTGTGGCTGATGCCTGTGGTCCCAGCTACTTGGGAGGCTGAGGCAGGAGACTTGCTTGAGCCCAGGAGTTGGAGGTTGCTGTGAGCTTGATGCCAGAGCATTCTACCCAGGGGGATAGCTTGAGGCTCTGTCTCAAAAAAATTATAAATGAATAAAGCCCAACCTAACAACTATCCACTGCGATGACCTTCTCAGGAACTGATTTCCCTATTTTTTCTGTGTCTCAGGATCCAAGATATTCACTATTAACAGTCCAGGAAGGATCTATCTTATACAAAGGAACTTCCCAGGGCTTCTGGAATTACAATGGAAGGGGAAGCTGGGGAGGAACTGGGGCCAGACAAGTCTGCCCCCAAAGATTTCCACTTTTATCATATGGATCTCTATGACACTGAAGACAGATTACACATCTTCCCTGAAGAAAACATTAGGATGCAGAGGGATGGCATCCAAGCTGAAGTGAGCAGTGAGCCGAGAGGGGAAGGGGATGGTAAGATTCAAAGAGACCTTCAAGAGGAAGTGGATGAACTTGTCCATTTATACGGACTTGAAGATGATCATGAGTTAGGGGATGAGTTTGTTGATGAAAACTTGTTCAGAGTAGGGGTTCCAGAATATCCTTCTCATATGATGAAGAGGAGAGACCCAGCCAGGGAGCAGAGAGACTGGAGACTCACTGGAGAGGCAGCAGAGGCCAAGGACCTGGGCTTCAGAGGGTGGGGATCAGCAGGTCAGTGCCAGGACTTGCGGGAAGCCTACAGGTACACGCATGGCCGAGCCAGTGAGGAGTATGAATGCTATGTCATCCCTGAAGAGGAGGATGAGGAGGAAGCTGCCGATGTCTTCTGCATCACTTGCAAAACTCAAATAAGAGCTTTTCAGAAAACTTTTGATGAACACAAGGAGCATGAAGTGATGCCACTCAGCAAGGCCCTGGAAAGCGCCAAGGTAAGCAGGTCTCTCTGGTTCTTCTCTGTCTTGATACTGCATTTGTATCTCAAGAATATGGGCAGGGAATAAGCTTTAAAAATTGCCTTCACCAAAAGAGAGGGTAAGATTTTCCATTTGGGAAATGGGGCCAAAAAAGAGAGAGAGACAAAAGATGTAACATTAACACCTTCTTTGTGATCCTCTCTGTTGGGTAGGATGAAATTCACAAAAACATGTACAAATTGGAAAAACAGATTATTGAAATGGAAAACTTTGCCAACCACTTGGAGGAGGTTTTCATCACTGTGGAGGTAAGAGCACATTTGAGGACCTCAGCAGACACACATCAGTGGCCAGGTCAAGAAACTGTTTCCGGTATGAGTCTGTTTTCTTAGAATGTGAGAGGTCTCCACTGCTCCTCTCCCTCACCCTGGCCCCTGACTTCCACAGGGCTGGGCACACATCTCACAGAGATGATCTCCTGTCAGCATTCCCTACTCCCAATGTGTCTTTGTACCCCCAGTCCTGCTACCTGGTACGTTTCAGAGAAGGTGTTTTATATATGCTTCTCGTGTGAATACATAAGGAAGAAATTTTCCAGTCACAGTCCTCCTTCACTGACTCCTTTTTCTCCTCATCTCCTTTAACCAGATCACCACTTGCACACATTGCAGGCCACCTGGTCTCAACCGTTAATCTGACAAAAACAACTTAATGATGGTGCCATGCAGTGGAAGCCCCTCATTTGAGCTCAGGTGGTGAGAAGAGGTGTCTTTTGCCCTGGTGTTTGTTTTGGGTATTTCTGTGTTCGGTGTTTGTATTTTGTTTCTTTGTTTTGAGACAAGAGTCTCACTCGGTAGCCCTAGATAGAGTGCTGTGGCATCATCACTCAAAGAAACCTCAAACTCCTGGTCTCCAGCAATCCTCTCATCTTGGCCTCTTGAGCAGCTGGGACTGTCGGCACCTGCCACAATGCCCAGCTCATTTTTCTATTTTTCTCATTTTGTTCAGGTTGGTCTCGAACTCCTGAGCTCAGGCAATCCACCCACCTCAGCCTCCCAGAATGCTAGGATTATAGGTGTGAGCCACCACACCTGTCCTGTTTTTATTTTTTTGGTCTCACTGACAATCCCTTGGGCATCACCTGGTGTACTGGCCATGTCACCAGAGACAGTGAGCTTCCATGTAGTTTCCTTGTCCTTTGTGGCTGTTAAGTCTAGGCCTGTGTGGGTAGCTATAATGTTGATTACATAAAGTCAACTAAGGACTGTCAAACTGCTTTCAGCTGTATAAGATGCAAAATACTCATGTCTGCCAGTTACTAGTATTCAAGCACAGACATACTTTTAGCTGTGCATTGGTTAAAGAAAATAAGTTTATGCTTTGTCTTTGTCTAATTAGAAATTTCCAGACTTGCCTGAGAGATCAATAAGAATTTAGAATTCCAGAGTTAGAAGATACTTTCCATCCTTTTATGACCTCTTTGCCTCTCATTCCTGACATGGGAATGAATGTGGGCTCTTGATCCAGAGTCCAAGACTCCTGAGCTAGAAGCTACTGCTCTGTGGTTTCTGCCAGCTGGTCCTACTGCCCCCTCCTTCCCTTATGCTACACAGAGCAAGGCTGGTCTCTCCCTCATGAGCCAGCCTTGATACACAGATAAAATACCCATTCTGTCTTTGAGAAATGTTCTTTTCCTCAGCTGCTATCTATTTCTCATAAGACTGATGTTTCCGGCTCAGCGCCTGTGGCTCGAGCGGCTAAGGCGCCAGCCACATACACCTAAGGTGGCGGGTTCGAATCCCCAGCCTGGGCCCGCCAAACAACAATGATGGCTGCAACCAAAAATGGCCAGGCGTTGTGGCGGGCGCCTGTAGTCCCAGCTACTTGGGAGGCTGAGGCAGGAGACTCGCTTGAGCCCAGGAGTTGGAGGTTGCTGTGAGCGTGATGCCATGGCACTCTACCCAGGGGGACAGCTTGAGGCTCTCTCTCAAAAAAAAAAAAAAAAAAAGACTGATGTTTCCATGCCTGTCACCAGACATATCACAGTCCCCTGGATGTGCCCTAGTAAGAACATAGTGTACCACTGTGATGCCAGAGCTCAGCCTGACCATCCAGATGAGGTGGATCAGAACTGAGGGCCTCAGGACTTCTCTCTCTCTCCTCTTCATGTGGGTGCTCTACTGCTATTTGTGCAGCCTTGGACCATATCAATAGGAGCACCTCAGATGAGCTAAAACCCAGGCCCTTTCCCAATGAAACTAGACCTTCTTCAGTCCCAGTTTTAAAGGGGAGAAGATCTATTGCATTACCCCCTGTGGAAGACACAGAGAAGGGGCCAGCCTTTCCACTACCCACATTCCACCACCACAGGGTGTGGTAGTATGGGTAGCAACAGCCAAGACAAGACTCCTTACACTAATCTGCCAGCTTGTTCTTAAAGTGTCTTCATCCTCAGGGAGGACGCTGAGCCCAGCCTTTCTCATATGCAATACTGGGGAGTCATCTGCTGCTTTTCCCTCTCTCCCACTATTCTTAGCAAGTCCTGTGCACACAGAGGTGCTTGTGATACTCCTTGAATGATTAGCAAGAGACTATTCTTTGGAAAATCCCCATTTTCTGATGAGGAAGATGTCAGTCAGGACCTTCAGAGCTCTCCTGGGCTGACAGTATAAGTAGTGGGCCAGGAGTCAGTATGCTGTGCTTGACGTCTCTCATCTGCTGTGCTCTTGGATTAGCCCTCCCCCTTCTGCCTGCTTGCATTTTCTCATCTACTAGGCAGTGCCACCAGGCCACCATCTGTGTTCCCCTTTGCTTTCATCTTTCCCCCCACTGGTATGATGCTAGTTGATGTAATCTTGGCACATGGAGGATTCAAGCACCAGCCAGTGACGATAAGCAGCCTGAGATGGTGAGGTGCCAGGAAGGAGTGATCAGTGGGATCTCTTGGGGGGAAATGTGCCTGCATTAAGGTCCAAGGTCCAATAGCAGACCTACTCATCACTGATAATCTCCCCAGTCAGTCGTCACGGTGACAGGAGTTAGCTGACACTGGGGGATGATTAAAAAATGCTGGCCCCAGAGAGGCAGCAGTGCTTTTGTTAAGATCACCCCTGGGGTTCTAGGTTGAGGACTCCTGTGTCCCAGTTTCTCCAGCCTCCACCCCAGCATCCTGATGGAGATGACAAGACAGAGTGGAGGGAGTGAAGCGGCTCTGGATAGGCACATTTCCATGCCCCTGTGACTCTAATCAGCACATGCACTGAAAGGGTGACTGAGGTCAGATGTCTTGCAGGAGAATTTTGGAAAACAGGAACAAAACTTTGAGTCCCATTACAATGAGATCTTGGAAACACTTGCTCAAAAATATGAAGAAAAAATACAAGCTCTAGGGGAGAAAAAGAAGGAGAAGCTGGAAACATTATATGGACAACTGGTCAGCTGTGGAGAAAACCTGGACACCTGTAAAGAGCTGATGGAAACCATAGAGGAGATGTGCCATGAGGAGAAGGTTGATTTCATAAAGGTCAGTATGAAATGACAAACATACAGGAAAGAAATGGAACCATGGCCTGAAATGACAGGCATGGCTGAGGCAGGTCATGGTAGTGCCCTCTCTCCTCCTAGAGGCATCAGGCGGGCCTTTTGTGGTCTGCAGCCATTTGATTGCCCTGGATGTTGGTGATGGGGAGGTTGTCGCCCCATTTCTCTGCTCATCTGGGATGCGAGTGGCAGGCGGGCGCATGCATGCTGACTCTTCCCCTCACCATTGCTTTGCTCCTTTGTTCTGATCACCCAGAGATCTGTCCCCTCATCCTGGAGCTGCACCAAAGCCATGCTCTGAGCATATCCTGGCTACCTCAGAGGGCTTCATGGAGCTCTGGGGAGAAAGTTCTGGTCAAGTCTGGAAAGGCACCTTAAATTCCCTGGTTACAAGTGTAGCAATTAAAAATCTTACTTCATAAACTCAGACATACCTAAATAAATAAATAAATAAATAACTCCTTCCTAATTTTCTCAAAAGCAAATGAAACCTGACCCAATCCACTATGTGGTTGGGTGTGGAAATTTCAGTCTCCATCAGAGCCAAAGTCCACAAGGTGACACAGGAGTATAGGGCAGATGTGGTGTCCAGGGTGAGGGGGAAAAACTCAAAAAATCATTGCCAAGATCTTCAGCCTCCAGAGCTTCTGGTTGCTAAGGATGGCCCCCAGTGTCCAAGCCCACTGTCATCCCTCCAAGTCTCACCTTTTTGCTGTGCTTGTGGGGAGGGACCCACAAATGAAGCTGCAGAACAATCTGGCAGTACCGTGAGAGCCACCAATGCTCATTCCATGGTGCCACCATGTCCACCATGTGGGGAAAGGACAGAAATGCTTCTCGCCATTATGTGTGATGGTGAAAAGCTGGCAACAACCGGACTATCCAACAAGGGAGGATCAGTTAAGTGAATGACGGAGTTTCCATTCATTAACTGTTTGTAATCAACTGTTGCACAAGTTTTCAAATTGATGTCCCCAAAAGCCATGTCTTGTTGGGGAAACACAGCACTGTGGTGTGGAGGAAAACCCCTGGGCATGAGGCCGGCTCCCTCCAGAGTGTGAGATACAGCTGCTTTTTCTCCTTTTGCCTAATTTCCAAGTTTTCTGATATGTTTATGTACTATATAGTTGAAAAAAGTTTGTCTTCAAAATCGATTTAACATTTTCTTCTTTTCTCTTCCATTTCAGGATGCAGTGGTTATGGCTGACAGGTAATATGTTTGTTCTGATATGTATTTTCTTTGTCTGTTTCTTCCACCTCTAGACATTCAGATAGTCCTGGTTCTACTTTTTACATGTTTCCAGTTTCACGTTTGATGTCTGATCCTCAGAGGAAAATGGCACTGGCTTTGGAATGATATCATGGGGTCAGTAGGAGCCTGTAGTATTGATCTCAAGGTCTCAGGGCTATGGTCTGATGAGGCCGAGTCAGCAAGCCTGTGGTCAGCTCTCTTCTGCAAGCCCCTCATTTCACCAGAAGAAACTGAAATCTGGGGAGCACCCCCTGCGTCCTCTAGCTGTGTCAGGATCCAGACTATGTGGCTGCAGAAGGCATGCACATTTCAGAGTCCGACAGGCAGAAGTTCAGATTCTGCTACCCCCATGACCTTGGGCAAGTCTAGCCAGCCTAAGACCCACCTCACCTACAAGCAAGGATAGTTTTGGGGGAATTGAATTAGATAATGTCTATAAAAGCACTGTATATATAGAAGCTTAATGATGTAAGGGTTAAAGGCTGCCGCTGTCATGTACAAACCCTGTGACTGTCAGGAAGCAGGTGCCAGGAGACCCAGAGTCCCAAGATCAGAAACTTGAGGGCACTTGGCTGAGAGGAAGCCCAGAGAGTTCGAATGCTCAATCCATTTTAGAGCTGGGAGTGACTTGGAAATGAGAACTTCCAGAGTAGCCCTGAGAGGTCTTCCAGAGGGTGTGGGTCTGGGTCTTCTTGTCCACCGACCCTCTAACATGATCCTACCCTTTCTCCTCCTCCTCAAAAGCACAAACCAATCCCACCCATCCCCATTGGCGACCTTGGTCAGTCACCAAATACCAGCCAACAACACGTTAAACTAAAGAAGTGAAAGGCCCTCTCTGTTCTCTACTAGTGACTTGGCACACTGCAGATGTCCTCTGAGGAGAACGTCCCTCCATTCTCGTCAGCATGTGTTTTTATACCAACAGACTTGGAAGATTCCTGAAAACAAAGACAGACATGGAAATCTCTGCGCAACCTGACTTTGAAGATCAGACCTTAGACTTCTCTGATGTGGAGCAGCTAATGGGCTCCATTAACACCATTCCAGGTGTGTATCTCACCCATGTGCGTCAGGGCAAGCTCAGGTTTCTGGGAGCTATTTTTCTTTCTTGTGGTGAGAACAGTTAACATGAGATCTATCCTATTAACGTAGGTTAAAGCCTATAACAGTATAGTGTTGTGAGTGTAGGAGCTACCTGGTACAGCGCATCTCCAGCTCTTACTTACCCTGTGTAACTGAATCTTTATACCCACAGAGCAACAATTCCCTGTTTCCTTCTCCCCTCAACCCCTAGCAACTACCATGCTCTTCTCTGCTTCCCTGAGTTGGCTGTTTGCTATAACCCACACAAGTAGAATTGTGCAGTTTTTGTCCTTCTGTGACTGCCACATTCCACCTGGCAGAATGTCCTCTGGGTTCACCCATGTCACAAATGGTAGGAATTCTCTCTTTTCTAAGGCTGAATAATATTCCCATGTATGTGTGTGCATGCATGTATGTGCCATAATTTCTTTATGCATTCATCTGTTCATGGGGCTGTAAGTTATTTTCATATACTGGCTGTGGTAAGCAATGCTGCAGTCAACATGGGAGTCAGATATCTCTTTGAGATTCTGATTTCACTTTTTTTGGGATATATTCCAAGACATGGTGTTACTGGATCATGTGATAGTTCTATCTTTAATTATTTTTTCCGGGAGGTGAGATGTTGCTGGTTGTCCAGGCTGTACTTGAACTCCTGGGCTCAAGCGATCCTCCTACCTCAGCCTCCTGAGTAGCTGGGACTACAACTGTGAGCCACCATGCTTGGATTATGGTTTTTATTTTTATTTTTTTTGTTTCTGTCTTGTAAATAAGGAATTTTTTATTATAGTGAGATATATGTAACATAAAGTTTGCCATTTTAACAATTTTAGGTATATAATATATAATTCAGTGCCATTAATTATTTTTGCATTGTCATGTAACTATTACCACTACTTTCAAAATTTTCCAGCTTGGATTATTTTTAATTTAATTTTAATTTTTTAAATTTTTTAACTTTTTTTTTTGTGGAACCACCATGCTGTTTCTTAAAGTGGCTGTATTGTTCTGTATTCACACCAGCAGTCAACAGTGTATAAGGGTTCCAGTTCTCTCCATCCTTACCAACACTTCATATCTTTTACTTTTTTATTTATTTGTTTATTTTTATTTTTATTTTTTTTTGAGACAGAGCCTTAAGCTATCCCCCGGGTAAAGTGTCTTGGCATCACAGCTCACAGCAATCTCCAATTCCTGGGCTCAAGCGAGTCTCCTGCCTCTGCCTCCCAAGTAGCTGGGACCACAGGCGCCCACCACAACGCCCGGCTATTTTTTGGCTGCATCCGTCATTGTTGTTTGGCAGGCCTGGGCTGGATTCGAACCTGCCACCTTAGGTGTACGTGGCTGGCGCCTTAGCCACTTGAGCTAAGCCTCTTTTACTTTTTGGTGCCGAGCCTCTTTTACTTTTTGATAAAAGCAATACAAGGGAAATTTATAATGATAAGTGCCTACATTAAGAAATAGGAAGTATCTCAAACAAACTAGCTTTATGTTTTAAGGAAAAAGAAGAATAAACTAAGGTCAAGTATAGGAGAAAGAAGGAAAAAAATAAACATTAGAGCAAAAATAGAAAAGATCACAAAACTGAGTTTTCTTGAAAGATAAATAAAATCAAAAACCTTTAGCTAGACTAAGAATAAAAGAGAGAACTCAAATAAATAAAATTAGAAATAAGAGGAGACTTACAACTAATGGCAAAGAAAGATAAAGCATCTTTTTTTTTTCTTTTCAAAAACAGGATTCTTTATTTGTCATTATTAAAAGCCTGAATTTTAGACAGATTCTTGGACTGGTGGTTCATATCCATCAGCTCGTTCAACTTTAGCTCCTGTCTTGTACCCAGTAGCTTTTCCAGAACTATGACCTTCACCATGAAGCTCCATGAGTTTTCCTAGTTCAAACTTGGGCTTCTTCAGCATTTTCACTTTTCTAACGAGGACATCATGGAGAGGATACATAGATTGGCATGACTTTTCTATGTCTTTTCCAATGCTGTCTGGAATCAATTTATTGACCACTTCTTTCAAGTCATTCATCTGCACCTGTCTGGTCATGATTTCCATCATTTTCTTCCGGATTTGGTGAACCTGTTGGTGCTGGATGTAAGATCTTCCATATCTGATTGTTGTGGTTTTTAGTAAAACCAACATAGAAAAGATGAAGCAAATAACTATCGGTAGTCTTCACATCAACGTGAGCTTCAATCATACTCTGCCTTTTTTTAACCATAGAACACATTTTGTCATGGGTAAGATCCATGCCATGGAAGTCAGTCAGGCAGTTTTTGCCCTGAACATCTTCAGTAATCAGCTTGAATTTTCTAAATGAAACTTCATCATTCTGCAGATCAGCAAGACTCACTGCAAACACATGACCTTTAAGGCCATCAGATGCAATTTTGGTTCCCTGAGTCCTGGTGACTAGTGTTTTTCTAATATTTCTTATATTGAACATAGCAGGTGCCTTCACATCATAGCAATCTTTCGTAGAAAATGGATCAACTGGCTCGGCGCCTGTGGCTCAAGCGGCTAAGGCGCCAGCCACATACACCTAAGGTGGTGGGTTCAAATCCAACCTGGGCCCACCAAACAGCAATGATGGCTGCAACCAAAAATAGCTGGGTGTTGTGGTGGGGGCCTGTGGTCCCAGCTACTTGGGAGGCGGAGGCAGAAGACTCGCTTGAGCCCAGGAGTTAGAGGTTGTTGTGAGCGTGATGCCACGGCACTCTACCCAGGGGGACAGCTTGAGGCTCTGTCTCAAAAAAAAAAAAAAAAGAAAAAGAAAAGAATGTGGATCAATTGAAACTGTGGCCCTCCAGTTTCAACTACAACCAAATATTCAAATGCTTTCTAACAAAAAGCAGACATAAAAAAGTCATTAAAAAGTTAACTTTAAAAGTAACAAGTAATTTCCATTTTTTAAATTATTAAGTACATAATAGTTATACCTTTACAAAATAATGTACATTTTTGGATATACCTAATTGAATTTTCTTGAATGTGGCCTTATTTGATTACCACGAAGTAAATGTGGCCTTCCAATATAAAAGCCCCCCACCCCTGCGCTGCGGAAACCTGCGCCTAGACACGTAAGACACAAAGACCATAGTGTACCCATGCGGTTTTCACCCACTGTAGAGAAATTAACAGGAGCAGAAGTC